TTTGTGCCCAGCTCTACACTAAGAGCTATACATGGATGAACTCATTTAACCCTCGATAATCCTGAGGATATCGGTATTAACGCGCCTAATTATAGCTAAGGAAATAAATCAAATAAATTGATCAAAATCATCTAGCTTGTGCATTTTTTTCATAAGTAACAAGGGTTAACCAAAGGATAATCTTGGATGGCCAGGTGGTAGAAATGTACAGGCCTAGAGTTGGAGGATTCTTTTTATTCCTTTTTGTAATTAATTTATTTTGCAGTAGAATGCATTTTGACATAGTGGACAAATGGAGCACAACTTCTCATTCCTTGGAGTTGGTGGATTCTTAGAGCAGCCACTTGCTGGCTATGTGATTTTTGGACAAATAAACTTCTGTGAACATGTTCTTTCAGTTGAGCAAATAATTTTCATAAGCTTCCTGTGAGCCTCATAATTAACTGAGGGACCAGAGTGTAGCTCTGCAGTGCTCGTTAGTATACACAAGGCCCCGTTTCCAATTCCTAGCACCTCAAAAGATGAACAAAATGAACTAGTCTACATACATATTACACATTCATTGACATAAATGGACTGCCTCATGAGCAAATCAGTCTTAGATGCTTCAGTAAAAAGATGAACTTTGCAATCAGTTTTATTTAGATCCTATCTTCCATTTACTGGCCATAGTTAGCCAGTAAATGACTTCAGCCAGTTTTAGTAGTTAGCCACAGTTACTGGCTTTCTAGCACATAGTACATGTTATCCTTAAGTTAGATAGTTAGATGATTGAGTGGTAAATACTTTTAAAAAACGAAAAGAGTTTGATTTAGTTGGTCACACTTTGGCTTTCCGGTCCCTAACCCCAGAGGATATGCTTAGAGCTTAATCCATGTCTAATTATCTCCCTGGCTTCAACTCCTGCTGACTCCCTATACACAAAAACATGACTAGTCTGATCTGTTTCCATGAAATGCCTTTAACATTAATTTCTTTTAGCAAGCAGCCTTTGGTTGACTTAATAACTTTTTATAATTTAATTCTGCATAAATTTTCTATGCATTTAGTTTACAATAATCTTTACTTTTTTTTTTTTGGTGCCTTGTATGGAAAGATGATCTTCCTTACTAGATTGCTTGCCTAGCTAAAATGGTAATTTATCACTTATTCTCAAGGCTTTTACTGTGCCATAGGTTCTCCCTAAAATTAACCTTCAAATAATAATTAGATTCAAGTCTTACTAAAAATATTAAAAATTTTTTCCTTCCTAGACTCCAAAAAACAAAGCTACAATCTTCAAGTTATGCAGCATCTGCCTCTACCTGCCACAGGAACAGCTCACCCATTGGGCAGTTGGCACCATAGAGGATCACCTCCGTCCTTACATGCCAGAATAAAGGGCCGACCAGCAAAATGAAGAAGATCAGAGAATGCAGCAGCAATTGTTTTTCTTGTTTTCTTACCACTTTATTTTTTCAGTTTGAAGAAAATGGACTCATGCACAGAACACTATGCATTTTGAAACTCGTTCATCCTGGATTTTTTTTTTTTTTAATCATTTGTATCTCAGAACTTAAAAAAAAAATTAGATGTCTTCTGCACGGACTGTGTGAAAGAAGATGCTTTGCATTCTTGCTGCACTGCATCAGCATCTTACTAAAAATGTGAAGTGAAGGACTGTTGTACACTGACATGCTTAAATGTATCTGAAAGCACAAGGTGATACTCATTTTTTGATGGTCTTCCCATTTGTGCTGGTTTTGCCTCTTTGACATCTGTCATCAGTATTGAGAGGGTGAGAAATGAATGTAACAGGTATAAGTAACGTTGAAAAAAGCTTAATAGCTTTGCTATGATCGCCATTGTTCCAGAGCACTATCAGATTCATTCTAATGACCAGAAGTGGTTGTTTAAAGTACAACCGTGGGAAAGAAATCTTAAATGAAAAAAGCATCTCATTATAGGCATTCTTGCCTCGTTTTACTGGGCCATGTTTATGTTTCTTGGTACTCATAAATACATGTATTTTTTTCCCAGATCTCTTTCCCCAAGTTGCTGTTATAAAAGTATTCTGCTGAGTGTGGATGCATTTATACTCATTGAAGCAGATCTGGAGTCTGAAGTAGCTAAAAGCAGCTATAAAACTGAGAAATACATTCATAGCTGCAGAAACCGTGATAGGTAGAGGACTTTACTTTTGGTTTTTGTTTTGTTTTTTGGTGTTAAAGAGAAGAGATTTTAATTACAAAGAAAATTCCAATAAATTGTGCAGAAATACTGGTTTCTACACCATCTTAAAGAAAAAGTTATGAGGGATTTTTGGAATAGGAAAACATTTTTTAAAGTTGGGATTTAAAATTGTAAAAATGACCAGAGTGTCAAAGTTCTAGTAGAACTCATTTTGTGCAATGAACATGAGGAAAGACTACTGTATAGTTTTTGGTTTTTTTTTTTTTCTTCTTTGTTTTTTTTTTTTTTTCTTTTAAATGAAGAAAAGCTTTGCTTAAGGGTTGCATAATTTTATTGGAGTAAATCTGAATGATCCTACTCCTTTGGAGTAAAACTAGTGCTTACCATTTCCAATTGTATTTAGCTTCTGGTTGGAATTTGAAAAAATGAAAACCTAAATAAAATAGGTGAAAGTTCCCTGACTATTCAGGTGAATACACAAAGCTTGAAGTGGTAACTTTATTATCCCAAGTCACTGAGTAGATGTTACTGACCATCTTAGGGGATTATTTTATGGTCCATAACTGAACAATTAAGAAAAACCCTGGCAGTTTGTAATTTCAACAAGAATAGAAATCAAAGATATTTGGTTAGCTTTCAATAGTTCATAGTCTGCCGTTACACTTGCTTCATGAAAAAAAAAAAAAAAAAACACCATTCTTAATTTCAAAGTGCATTCACATGTTCTCTGATCAGTTAAAAGTTAGAATCCATTTGAAATAACACTTTGAATTAAGTTCGTATCTTAACCTCTTAATTCTGAATGGAAACAGATGCAGAGGTTGAGTAATTTGCCCAAGCTTGCATCCTAAGAGTGAAAGATTTAAATTAGACTGTTGATCTCCAGAGCCCTAGGCCTTAATCATATGTTGAGTTAGACTTGTTCAACATAGTAGGCAATTCAGCAGTCATTTTATTTTGGAATAATAAGTAATACAGAAAGTTCCTGTGTAACCAGTACTCCATTTTATCATCTTGCCATATTTGTTTTCTCTTTTGTGTATATATTTGTAATCATTAACATTTTGAGTTATTTTGGTTGTTGGTCAAGGTGTTGTGCATAGTAAAATCATCAATCTCAAGAAATGTAGCATTGATATACTTTACCATCCATATTCTTGTTTTGCTGTCAGTATTTTTGATAGTTTTAAATCCCCTTTATGTTATAAGGTAATTGCATTTAGATGCCATAGCCTTGGTGTCCTTTTAGCACAGTGTCTTGGCCTCCTCTGTTCATGGTCTTGGTTTTGACTTTCACATAAACTGTGGTATGTTTTGCCATTGATGTAATTTGCCCGTGGCTAGATGACAGGCCTGTGTCCTCCTCCAGTCTGTATCTGGAGGCACACATCTGTCTCTTGGTGGTGTTGACTTCAGTGCTTTCCCACTTATCCATTGTGTGCTCACTACTAGTGACCTATGTGGAGTTATGCAAATGATCCTCCTAGCACATCACCTCTGATGATTCTTGCTGCCAAACCAAGTCGATCTTATGAAGGTTCCAAGAGGTGATTTTTCTAAATCTACCCTCCCTCCATGTTTTCCATTGTTTTATTGTAAGGAGCCTCTGCCATTATTGTCCAAAGCTATGGACTCAAACTTCTAAACCCCATGCACAATTTGTGACTGCCTCTTATTTTCTTGAATAATCCTTACTTTCAGGTTAAGATCTTGGGACATGTGTTTTTCCCAGCACCAGAATCAGTTATTCTCCAAGGAGCCACAGGTTCCTTTTAGTAGGAAGCACTGGCAATGGAGACCCGGGTCTTTAGCCTGCTCACTGCCAGCAGGGAGTCTGTGTCCTGTGAACAGATCAACATGCATTCCAGTACAGGAAAAGGACAACCAGCTTGACTGTTTAATGATTTTAAAGTGCTTCTTTTTGATCTTTAGTCATGAAATGTTCACTAAGACCAATGTAGAAATCAAATATTGGGGTGCCATAGTACACAGAACTTTTGAGAAACAGACTGAATTTTGTGATCTAGGGATATTACTATAGACAGGGAGATCTAAAGGGGCTGATAATATATCTTTTTCCCCTTTTATAAAAAAAAAAAAAAGTTGCCAGCCGTATAATAAATTATCAGAGAGAACTATATGGACCATTTCCTATCTTGCTAATGTCTTTGCTTCAATCTTAACTATTTAAGGCCATGCAGTATGATATTTAACTTTTCCAGTCCAGAGTTCACCTATTTTGAAATTCCATAATCCCACATTAAAAAAAAAAAAAAAAGGAAATGTGGCATGGCATTTTACAGTTGGGGAAGACTTAACTCCACAACATGTCCCATTAAAACCACCCCCTCCTAAGTGATGGTACTAGGAGGTGGGATCTTTAGTGGGTACAGCTATGGTGCCCTTTTAAGAAACCCTGGAGAGCTGCCTTCTGTACCACTTGAGAATGCAGCTAGAAGACATTATAAATCAGGAAGCAAGCCCTCACTGGAAAACCTGCTGGACCCTTGACTCGGACTCAGCCTCCAGAATGGTAAGAAATTTCTGCCTATGAGCTACTTAGCCTATAGTTATAGAAGCCCAAACAGATGCGACACCATTAATTTTTCTCACTTAGCTGAATATTGGACTTTAATCTTGCCTTCAAGTAGCTCTGCTTGCTTCTTTGCTTTACCTGTTTTCAAAACATTGAGCTAACTTTTTAAATACAATTATCATGCATATGAATGAAAAATTCTAAAGATGTTTAAAATGAAAAACCAAGACAACCCCAGCTTTACCCTACTTGGTCTCTAGGTCTTTCACCCAAAGAAAATGTCTTAAGCTACTTTGTGGTTCTGATAATTTATTTTGAAAAATTTGTTCAAGTTCACACTTGGTGTTCACTGTTGGGTATCTTCGGGCACCTGTGGGTCTCTAGTTTCCCAGGTGTTTCGTATGCCTGCCTTGTGCTATTAATTTTCCTGTGGCCTTGTTGGTCAGATCCACAGAAGCAAATGCAAGTGTTCTTCCTTGCTTCAGAATTTGTGCTGTAATCACTATTTCTTCTCCTATTTTAGCAGGTGACATGTACCTTAAAAGGAAACAAATTTAGTTAATAGCAAATAATTTTTAAAAAGGAAAGTTTGTGACAAGCTCATAACAACCTTCCTGTGTAACTTTACTCCTAATAGTTTAGGAATAATTGCTAAGCTTTCTGTGCTATCAAGTTTGAATGGCTGCTACCTAACCAGGTTCTATCACACTCATTCCTTAATCCACACCTTTCTTCTCCCATAAATATTGAGGATATTCTTGCCCTATTTTTCCTTTAATTTTTTTACTTCATACTTATTCAGGCTAATGAAAGATTTCCTCTAGCTTTCATTCCATCTGCGTAATTTCCTATGTGAAATATCAATTGGTGTCTACATCTTATATTTAGCTTTTAAAATGTAGAGTTAATACAAGAACTACAAGGAATAAACAAGGATCTTACAGTCCTGGTAATGAACTATGATTAATTATGGCTTGGCATCCATGAGGGATCAGTGCCAGTACCCTTAAGATACCAAAATCCATGAGTGCTCACGTCCATATATAACAGGTACATAGCTGTAAACCTCTTGATGGCTTAGGGTACCTAATACATGCAAATGCCACGTAATAGGTTGTTGCAGTATATTGTTTAGGGAACAGCGACAAGAGAAATGTCTGCATGTGTCCAGTACAGATGCAGTTTTAAACGTTTTTCCAGCTGAGGCTGGCTGAATCTGCAGAGGACCTGTGACAGGCTGGCTACACAGTTCCTGAAATATACTACCTTCCCAGTTGTGATGACAGTTCCTTTAATTCAATTATTGTGGTTCCCTAAAAAATAGGGTTGAGGGCCCTGGTAATGCTAATGTTTTAAAGGGAAACCCTTACAATTTACTTTTGTATATCTGGCTTTTTATAGAACAAGGAGCTGTAGAAGAGAATACATATTTTTGCCGAATTCAAAACAAAGTCTTACGTGTTTATGGCTGGGAGGTATAAGAAAGTTGGGAGTTTATTGCTGGAAAAAACAAGCTAGTCTTGAATTCATGATCTCAGTTTAAAGAAATGAAAACGGTGTGCTTAGTAGTAATTTACTGGTTTTTTTTATTATTTCCCCTAAACTTCTCCTATAAATTAAGAGCTCTGGCTACTAGCCATTAATTTAAATGAAACTAAGTGAAGGCAAGCAACGCCTTGTAAGGCTGGATCAGCAAGCATTAGTCCTGGGGGATCTGGAAACTGACATTTCAACAGTACTCGTACCTTAGAATTTCTTCTTTCATTGTCTTGCAAGCCCAGTTTTCTACCAGTCATGGTCTAAAACAGACATCCTTGGTTTGTGTAATGTAGAACTTAATTTGGTATCGTGTTTAGTGGTAATATGAGAATGATTCATGAAGAAGTGTTCAGTGACTATTTTTGAAATACCTACAACCTTTGAGACTATGTCCTACTTTTGTTTCAAGTTAATCAATTTTTAAAGTTTAGGCAGCTCTAGATGGTGTTCAAGGCTTCTGACCACACACACCCAAAAGGCCAGAGCTGTCTGCCTTATTAAAACTCTATTTTAGAGTTGAGAAAGCCACAATATCTTAGAAGATTATAAAATGCAGTGCTGGACTGAAGATTTTTTTTTTTTTTTTTAGTTGTAGATGGAAACAATACTTTTATTTCATTTATCTGCATGTGGTGCCGGGGATCGAACCCAGTGTCTCATGCTTGCTAGCTCTGAAGATCTCTCTTTTAATAGAATACTACGGAAAAGCACTGTCAGCAACTGGCCTCCCCCCCACCCCACCCCGTCACATGGAGAAGGACAAGGACTGCTGAACCCATTCACAGGCAAAGCCTTTTTTCCCCGGCACATCTTAATTTCACAAGAACACTGGTCTGCATCTTGTCTGTCGCTTGCTTATTGCACCCTCAACTTATCCCCATAATAAAGGCAAATTAACTGAGTCATAAGGAAACTAATAAAAGACGTAAATTGCTTAAGACCCAATAACCTACTTATTTCCATTACTTTTATGTCTGGTGGACATTGGCTTTCACCCTAATCCCTGCCTTTCTTCTCAATAAATACATTTTCTGTTGCTTCAGTAGAGAAAGCCCAGTTGTCTTCAAACTATCCTGGGCCCTGCTCTTTATTGAACAGGACTGACATTACTAGTTCATGTTGGAAAACTGAATGTTTCACATTTTGGTAGTTGGGTCCCTGAAGGCATTTTCATAACATGGAGTGACAGACATCTAGGGCCTGCTTCTCTGGTTCTGCTGTGCAGGTTTCAGGTCATGAGATCCAGGATTGCTGCTGACACTATAGTTCACCTCATGACAAGCTCACCATATACATGTGGAAGGTTCAACTTTGCTTTTAATTTTATTCAGATTTTTCTTTATGTATGTACTCAATACATATAAAAATGTTTGCAGCAGTACCAGTAGTACTTTAAGGACTGTATGAAACAAACCGTTGAGTGTGTAACTTTTTTCCCCACTAGGAGATATATTAGAAGCTGTGTGCTGTTTGGATGTTTGGGGTCATTTACCTTTGACTATTGACTGTACAGCTGGCCCTGTGTCTGTGGCTTCCCCATCCTCAGACTTAACCACCTGTGGATTCAAGGTGTTTGAAGAAAAAGTTGTGTCTGTACTGAACACATATATCTAATTCCCCAAACAATACAGCACAACAACTATTTACATACCATTTGCATTTATTTAGGTTTTATAAGTGATCTAGAGATGATCTGGAATGCATGGAAACGTATAGATTATACATAAAGATGACATTTTATTTTTTCTAATATGAGGGATTGAACCCAGGGGAGCTTTACCACTGAGCTACCTCCCAGCCCTTTTTAGTTTTTGAGACTGTGTCTTGCTAAGTTGCCATGGTTGGTCTCAAACGTGCCATCCCTCCTGCCTTAGCCTCCGAGTAGCTGGGATTATAGTCGTGTGCCACTGTGTCCAAATAAAAATGACTTTTCATATGAGGGATTTGAGCAGAGTCCTGGAACCAATCTCCTAAAAACATAAGCAAGGTAACTATACTTGAAATTAATTGTGTTTTAGTTCTAGTTTTTAAGGCCACATAATATTTTAGGGAAAATCTCTAGTCGCGTTTAACTGAGTTTCGTACTTCATTAGTATTACAAACAGTGTCTTAATGGTTTGAAGTGACTTATCAAAGCAAAAGGCCTCTGGGGTAGTTTGTATACGTACGTTATGTTCATGTCAACGCTGACTCCAGGCAGACCCCTTTCTGAGCACAGCAGAGCCATGGTTGATATGCTGTCTATTAAGGTGGCTGTCAAACCACCATGGAGTGTGCCCATTTTATTAGCATGCTGCTCTTCTACTTTCATTTCACAAATCACTTTCTCAGGAGCAGCAGAGACGAGAGTTACCTAAATGTGTTTTAAAAAAAGAGTGGACATTCATTCTGTGGTATATGAAAAATTCAAAAACTCATCAAAAACAATCACTGGATTAAACCGAATCTCCTCCAAAAAAGACTGACTCAGGAATTCAATTTGTCAATCTATGATATAAATAAATACTTGTGCAAGTTGTCTTTAAAGAAAAAGGTGGGTGGGGATGAGGCTCAAATGGTAGTGCGCTCGCCTGGCATGCGCAAGGCACTGGGTTCGATCCTCAGCACCACATAAAAATTAAAAAGTAAAGATATTGTGTCCACCTAAAACTAAAAAAAATAAATTAAAAAAAATTTTAAAAAGAAAAAGGTATGTTGAGTGAATAGTTTCTGCTAATCTTCACGCCTTCATAATTCAGACATTAAGTCTAAACTTTTCAGCCTTATGTGGAACACCTGACTTCTCTTAATGGTCTCAAATTTTTGCATCAACCAAGCCACCTGGTACCTGTGATCTTTCAATAACACATATATATGTTTAGTTAGGTGTTCCTTAATTTTTGCACAAGCAGGGTGATTTTCAAATGACTTAATAAATCGTTCCAAACAACCTGAAAGTTAAGCTGGAAGAAATTCAGTAATTTAATGAGTTTTAGAAGAAGCTTATTCCACATACCCATTTTAATATAAAAGTTTAACAGTAGAACCCAACCAAATTAAAGGACTGCTTTTTATGTCCTATCCTACATAAAGCACCACAATGAAAAGGTGTTACACTAAAGAGCATGATGCCATAAAGAGGTCCTTGTTGCCTTGCTTGGCTTTTCATCACTGACTGTAAACAGATAATGTACCACAGACATTCCTCTCTACCCATGAAAACTTTTTGGTGTTGGGCTCACTGTTTTCAAACTTTTTAAGGACTTTTTGGCGTGTGCAAAAGCTGCTAAACCCCTTGTTGAATTTTTTGGGGTTCTTTTTATTCTGCAGTTTTCTTCTCACTTCTTCAGCTATGCCTTTACTAGGCCACAGGAAGTTTTTAGCACTATTATGAACTCTTGGGACCATCAGTATGTGCTACTGCTGTTGAATGAAATGTCTTGTGGCAGGGGACCAGACTATAATAAGGAAGGGTAACTGCCATTTTGCTATTATATTCATTATGGGTTATTTTCAAGACTACCAATATATGACACATATAACTTCATGTCCCTCTAGTTACTCTTCTGGAGACACACAGAAGCCTTTTTGACTCCCTCCAGGAAGATATGATTCAACTTTACTGGTCTTGCTGTGTATCCTACAAGAGGCCTTGAAGGAAGACAAACACAAATCATTCCAAACAATACCATGTCATGTTTTACACAACAGATAAATGGAAAATGTTTACAGCAGTAAGCGGTCTAGCCACAAGATGTCCTCATAAACTAATACCATACACCAAGGTAGAACAAGGGGGACACAGTCTTCAACCATTTCTATTTTATTTTTAGCAGCATTAGGGATTGAACCCAGGCCTCATGCATGATAGAGAAGTGGGTCTTGAAGTCTGGCACTGGCAACAACAAATGAGATTGAATCCCTGTTCTCAGAGGGTTGGGTCTAAATAACGGAGCAAATACATAAAACACTGCAACGGAGGAACTTATTGCAGAAAGAGTCCTGTTTCTTGAAGTAAAGATATCTAACGTTAGTTAGGTCCGCCAGCCTTTGTTTTCTTTCAAGAGATCTCATTTCTACACGTATGTTCTGGGGAAGAGGCATTAACAAAGGCTTCTGGGAGAACACTGGAATCCTGGCAGGCAGGAGCCAGGTAAAGGGGGAAAACCAGGAAGTCAGGGAATACAAATGAGAGCCTCAGACACCAAGCGGTTTAGTGTCTTTGAGGCCCCTGTGTCCAGCAGAGCTTTGTTCTGAGTTCATTTGCTCTCTTGACTGCTGGGATGACTAGTGAAATAACTGACCGTCTTTCATTTTCTCCTGTAGGATTCAGTGTAAAATTTTCTTTTTCTCAGCTAAAGGCCAAAGAACATGCCAACACTCAAAACTAGTTTAAAATTTACATTAAATGGAAACGATTTTATACTGGTTAGTCTGACATGGCAAAGACATGCTTTCATTATTGCCAATGCTTGTTTCCCTAAGTAAAATAGAGGGATTAAATGGAGGTAACAACGAAGGAATGTCCTACCCAGCCCCCAGAGGTAAAAAGTAGACTTGTGGGGACAGGCTCACGCAGAGCTCTTTCACAAAGAAAGGGGTTGGGAGAGGAAACTGGAAAGAAAAACAAAACTCAGCCTGTCAGTTTAAGGTATAACACTTGTCTATTCAGTTATTAGCAGCTGAACAACTGTTAGAGGACAGGTGAGCAAGTTTACATGCATCGTCTCAGTCCTGCAAATCTGTGAAGTAGACCCCATCTTCATCCGTCTTACAGATCAGAAAGCAGCTAGTGATGCCTACCCTTCAGTCTCAGACTAGCCTCCCCTCTCTGCTGCTAGTCCTGACTGACTCATCATGTGGGAAGCAGTGGGTGGAGCCTTGGCATAGTTCACCTTGGAAATTACTGCACAAGCAGCCAGCTGCCCTTCTCTCACGGCTGCCAGTGTGCTGCTGCTCTGCACCTCATGCATCCACATGAGTTTACCTTCCCCGTCTCCAACATCTGGACCCAAGTGCCATTACAAACAGACATACTCCAGGTGACAGTTCCCCCTTCTTGCTTTTTCAGTAAGGAGAGTAAGAAGGGCTGCCTGATGACAGCCATGAAGATCTCTTTTTATGGCACTGGGGATGGAGCCCAGGGCCTTGTGCATGCTAGACTGGCACTCCACCCGAGCCATGCCCCCAGCCCAAGATGCTGTTAATCCCTTACACAAAGGTCTGTCCAGAACTGAGAATTCTGCTCAGGCCTTGGCATTTCGGATCATCCTGAGAGTCGCCACCATCACTGCGACTGCTGCTGCTGTGCACAGCTCACGGCCACCACCTCTGGCCAACAGAGAAGGACTACAGCTCTGCTCAGCAAGGGTGTCTGTGTGTGATGGGCCTCAAGGACAGGAATGTGGCATGAGAATGTGTGTGTAAAAACGAGAGTCGGCCAAGAAGAGACTGAACAAGAAAGACCACGCAAAGCCCAGAGAGCAGGTGGTCTCAGCGGGTGAGAATTTTGTGTGCATTTGTGAAAGGGGCCATTCTCAAGCAATGTGCCCTGACGATGGATGGATGTTGATTTTTGCATGGCACTGCAGATGCCAGGAGGTGTGTCTGAGGACAATGCACGAATGTGCCTTCACACTGGAAGTAGAAGTTGTCAAGATAGGGGCAGCTGTGTGACTGGGAGGCTACAGCTACAAGAATAGATGGAGTCAGGCTAAGGGAACTGTATGAGGGCACACACTACAAAACCACTGTGTCCAGCCATGCCACCATCAGCCCAGCACTGGGGCTTCAAAATAAATGTATGTCTTCATTTAATCACTCTGATGGCTGGAGCTTAATGGTTAACAGCACAGGCTCCGGAAGTAGATTTAGGCAAAACTCACAACTGAGGTATGCCCGGTCTTTGAAGTAGAGATAATAATCACAGCACTGCCTTCACAGAGCTCTGTAAAGCTTAAAATTCTCACTGAGGAATTCCTTAAAGCCAATTTGCAGGACTGTAAATGCATGTAAACTTGCTTACCTGGTCTCTGACAGTAGTTCAGCTGCTAATAACTGAATAAACAGGTGTTGTTCCTTACTGCAGTTACTCAAAAACATCAAATTGAAGTTTGGGTGTGTACAATTTGGCCATGGATGTACTTGTTTCTCCTGTCAAGGCCACCAGTCAGTGAAGACCTGACACTAAATTCAACACTGGGTGACCCAGCCCTCCCTGAGTAACCTCTCAGCATTTTTCTGCCTCCGTGAAGCCCTCTTGCTCTCCCCTAATTCCCACCACACCACTCCTCCTGGTCTTCTCCTCCTCCATTCACCACTCCATGTTCTCCTTTGCTGGCTCTCATTCTGTAGGGAGTCTTGGTGCCAATTAATTACTAGGAGTCTCCGGGGTTAATTTATCGTTGACTTTGCACAACGATCTCAGTGTACACTTGGCACCCAAGTCACTCAGGATACGGGACGAGCTTTCTACACAGTTGCTGGCAAGAGCCACGGAACAGAACACTTGGGTGTAGATCCCTTAGTGGCTCTAAGACCTCAGGGAAGCTAAGCTTCTGGTTTCTCATGTATAAAGCAGTCATAGCAAGAAGGGCATACCACACAGGTTCAAAAGAAACCATGTAGGGAAAATAAAGGATGAGTGTGGGGTCTGGTCAGAGTGCTCAATAAGTATCCACGAACACTCCAAGTGCTAGGACTATGGAAATGACTTCTGCCTGCCTGCTCTTATCCTTGCAATTGGAACTTTCACTTTGCTTAGTTTATTATTTTATTTTTTTTCACTTTGCTTAGCTTAAAACACTTGAACAAACGGAATATCCAAGGCAACTATGGAGACAACTATGATCCTTTCACATCTCCCAACTTGTACTTGGTGGTTCATGTCCTTTTTGAGAAGACCTCTGAGTCTGCAAGTATAAAAGCCCCAGCCACCAGACAGACAGCAGAGTCCCCTGATATTAACAATCATGATGTATATAACATGAACTCTGGGAAGTGGAGACAAGTGGTAAACCTAGTAAGTGTCCTTGTCATGAGCAATTCAGATAATGAGAAAAGCCATCCTGCCTTAGGCTGCTCACTGATTCCACTCTGGTCCCAGCCACTGCCGTCCCTCTTTTAAGTTGTTGCAACTGCCTCCCAACTTATCTTCCTACTTCTGCCCTTACCCCCTTATGTCTGCTCTCAGCAAGAGTGCTTTTTAAAAAATACAAATCAAATTATGTCACTCTTAAAACCTTTCTAATGGAGAGCCATTTCATTAAAGGAAAAGTAAAGTCCCTTTTGTGACCTGCAAAGTCTTACTTGATCTCATCTCTCTGCAACTTGCCCCTGAGAGTTTCCAGTGCTCCCTCAAGTTAGCCTCCCTGA